AAGAGATTGACCGGGTGATTGGCCGAAGACGAAGCCCCAGCTTGGCGGATCGAGGCCAGATGCCCTACACAAATGCCGTGGTACATGAAATCCAGAGATTCCTTGCACTTGCACCTATAGGTGTCCCGCGTGCTGTGGCTAGAGATGTTCATCTCAGGCAGTACGTGATTCCCAAGGTCAGTTCTGAACGTGTGCGTGTGAAAGGCCAAGTTTGTTCACTCTTCTCTCTGTTTAATTTCAAATTATTCCTTCAGTATGGTTGGTGCAGTGGGTGTGTTTACTGATTTATCAGTCATGGTCCAGGTGTTGTTGAGTCCCTCTCAGTCTGTGCCTAGAGTAGAACAGGAGTTGGAAGCGTTCAGACTTTGCCTTCCTTCCAGGGGGTCTCATAGCCCAGCTCCTACATCTCAATGTGGACTAGAGAATGAATTTAGTAATGGTGCGCACGAAGACTGTGAACCCTCCATACCTTTGCTTCTCTCTCACATGTGGGGTGTGTTGCTGATTTAACTAATCTAGCTACAACTACTCAAGAGAGAGATCTTGGAGTCACTGTGGATAGTTCTCTGAAAATATCCCTCTGCGCAGCAGCAGTCATGGAAATCAGGACCATCAATGGGATTAGACAGGATGGGTTGGAATGGTGTCCTCAGCCTCTGTCAGATGCTGGGATTGCGTGACAGGAAAGGGATTACCTCATCATTACTTCTTTTGTTCATTCCCCGTGGGGCACCTGGCATTGGCCGTGGTCGGAAGACAGGATACTGGGATTCGCTCTGCTCATGAGATGTTATTTCTGCTTTGGTTGAAAGCATGAAGCTGAGGGGATTCACGAAAATGAAGAAAAACAAAGATCAGTCCCACAGTCGTGTGAATTTTGGAGGCTTCTCTCTTTTGGCGAGTTTCTGCCTTAACTCTTTTTTCTGCTTTTGCTAATTCAGGGCACCACGATATTCCTTTCACTGAAGTCAGTTCTATATGACAGCAGGGAATTTCCAAACCCAGAGCAATTCAACCCGGGACACTTCCTGGACGAAAATGGTGCCTTTAAGAAAAGTAATTTCTTCATGCCGTTTTCTGCAGGTAAAAGAAGCTGGTTTTGTTTCAGATCCCAGCCTGTCTCCTAACTTTCCCTGGTTGTTCTCAGACTGGTTTGTGCGCAGTGTTTCGGGTGGCTCATGAGGAAGGATCTGTCACACTAGCAAAGCAACTATCAGTCTTTGCACCATTGTCTCTTCCCGCTCATTGGTCTGAAGGGATGTTTGGGATAGAAATACACTCCCTTCTCTACACGTGGCCTGAAAACTTCCTGTCTTGCTTTGTGTGGTGTCTGTCAGGTGTAAATTAAGCCGTGGTGAAAGGAGCAGACAAAGCTAACATCGAAAGGAATACCAAATCTATAGTAGCCAGTTGCATAGTCATGTGGGACCATGTTAATATCAACCATCCCTCACTGGCGTTTGTCAGCCTCTATGGCAAGCCTGTTCTAGAGGTTGTCTAGCCCTATTTTTAATTTTCCTCTCTAGTCTCTAACCTAAATATCCCCGATTGCAGAATAAACCCATTAATTCTTGTCCAGCCATCTAATACAGGCAGTCCCCGGGTTACGTACAAGATAGGGACTGTAGGTTTGTTCTTAAGCTGAATCTGTATGTAAGTCAGAACTGGCATCAGCCGCTGCTGAAACTGATCAGTTTCAACCGCGGCTGAATCTGGACTCCAGTTCTGACTTACATACAGATTCAACTTAAGAAACCCAGGCGTCCCCAAGTCAGCTGCTGCTCAAACTGATCAGCGGCTGATTCCAGGAAGCCTGGGGCAGAGCAACTCTGCCTCGGGCTTCCTG